TTGAACAAGTGTCTTCAAAATGAAAGGAGGTTGCTTGTCCCTTAATTAAAATTGACTAAAGTGAATGAAGAAACTAGTGGGAGGTCTCTGGATTTCCAGGGTCAAGATCAAGAAGACACAAAAGGCCTTGACTCAAGGGATTTTTTTGAGCCTGAGGTCAGTCTGGAAACAAAGGAGAACTGTTTCCAGAGCCCACCAAAGGGAAGATCTAAGTGTCCAAAGTACACCATATTGCCCTACTATCCTTCCATGGTGTTATGGACTATGTCTGGAACTTGCATGCAATCTTCTTTATGTGGCTCAGACTGGGAAGGCCCCATCTCTGTCTGAGTAGCTAGGTATAGGCCTTGGGCATGACAACTTTGATAGTCTCACACATATCGAGAGGCTAGGTTTCCACCCTCAGACTCAGTGTCAGAGTGGGTGGTCATTGCCAACTTACTTACAGCCAACGGAATTTGGTAAGAGAACTAGGCATCTCACCCGGCAGGGTCACCACAGGGTTTTCTGATCAGTTACCATAGTTGTCTTCTGAATGATTGCCTTTTATATTAGGACAATGTCTTGAAGCTAACTGCTAATGGAACAGTTCAGAATATAGGTACAAACTGATAAGAATGCATGAACACACACACACACACACACACACACACACACACTCACCTGGAACAGTCATCTGTAAAATTTATCTGAACTTTCCTTCTTAATTCTTTGAGAGTAAATTTTGAAATAACCTGAGTCCTTATTGAGTATGATGCACATTCAGCCTCCTTCCATGGAATCTGCTGCTAGGGATGGCAACAAGCTTTCATTTAGAGCAGTGGTTCTCAACCTTCTGGCCCTTTAAATACAGTTCCATAAAATTATTTTCGTTGCTACTTCATAACTGTAATGTTGCTACTGTTATGAATCGTAATGTAAATATCTGATATGCAGGATGGTCTTAGGCGACCCCTGTGAAAGGGTCGTTCTACCACCAAAGGGCTCAAGACCCACAGGTTGAGAACCGCTGATTTAGAGGAAGACAGAGTGAACGTGACTGACTGACAGTCTATAGGATTGGTTGTGTTGGCCCAGAATGAGCCCTTTAAAATAAACGACCTTCAGAGATGGAGGGCACCGTAGAGAGTGTATGCTCGATTCCTTTCATTTTTCAGATGCACAAAATGAGACATAGAGAGGGAAATAGACCTCCTGAGGCCCCTTCGCTGCTGTTTGCAGGCCCGACCCCAGAACATCCTCACTGCCCTGCCAAGACCTTTCCCTTCACAGCACTTGACTCTCAGCAGGCGAACTGTTTCCAGGAGATTCCATTACCTTATTTTTCTTTCATGATGGGAGAGGCTAAAAGGTGGGTAGTTGTGATTTCAACTATGTGATTGGCAAGTTCTGGAAAGCATGTCTTTTTCTCATTGTGTTTTTCAGTGGTTAGATTCCCCTGGTTCCTAACAGGTACATAAAGTAGGGTTGAAATCTCTGGATTCTTCTGAAGATCACAGTCACTTTGCAAAATGGGTCCGACACAGAGGAAATAACTATCTGTCCCTTTAGGGTGGAGGAGACTTTGCAGATCTGAAGAGGTTGCAGATTTTGGGTCCAATAACTAAAATATAATAGTGGATTGAGATCTTTCTTGAGTCATTCTTTTTTTCAGCTTTTCTTTTATCCCACATGCCTGATCCGTCATCAAGCTCTTCATCATCTCCACTGCTGCTCCTTTAAGTGGGTTGAGATTTTGAAGCTGTGGAGGTGTGATGAAACACGCCTGGGTCTTCATTATCCAGCCCTGGGTCACATTCTGGCTCTGCCTCAGGAAAGTCCCTTGATCTTTGAGCAAGTAGAATCATCTTTCTGAGCCTCGGTTTTCTCCTCTGTAGAGACAGGACATTCACTTCTCATTGTTCTTCTGCAGATTAAATATAGTAACATAAGACAATACCTAGCATAGTCTCTGGCAGAGAGCTGGGACTCAGTGAATGTTATTTTCCAACCCTTCCCTTGGGTGGGGACCTTCCTCTGCCATTGGGCTACTTAAGGCTAAACACTTCACTGAAGCTCTTAATCCCTTTGACTTCCATTTGTAAAATAGACCCCCCTATCCCACAAGGACTGAGTTAGAGGAGGGTTAAGGAGAGAGATTGAAGAAGCACTCTAGGTCTAGAACAGTGATGGCGAACCTTTTGAGCTCGGCGTGTCAGCATTTTGAAAAACCCTAACTTAACTCTGGTGCTGTGTCACATATAGAAATTTTTTGATATTTGCAACCATAGTAAAACAAAGACTTATATTTTTGATGTTTATTTTATATATTTAAATGCCATTTAAGAAAGAAATATCAACCCCAAAAAATTAGTTCGCGTGTCACCTCTGACACGCGTGTCATAGGTTCGCCATCACTGGTCTACAACCTCAGAAAAGACCCATGGAAAATGAGACTTAACCTGGTGTTTTTTTAGAAAAGACACATCCCAGGTATGATTGTACAAAAGGCACTGAGGCTAGCTCAGGAAAAGGAAACCCATCCTTATGTTTTATGAGAAATTAAATCAGAATGTAGGAAGGCCCAATTTAATTTCACCCCAAATGAGCAGTAATGTTAACTCCACTTCTATTTAAAGCCAAAGAGTACAGCTTTGACAGCTAAAGTGAGGCTGCCTTGGAGCAAGAATTTCAAAACGAACCCATTTGGTAATTGGAGAGTCTGCCTAGCCTGTTTCACTAGGCAGGGTTTGCTCCAAACACAGCCAATTATTAGACGGATTGCACATTTGCCAGGCAGTGTCTAAGAATGCATGTCACACCTCTGTCCCAAATAGAAATTGGATGACTTTAATTGGAGAAAAAAATAAGAGAGAGGATGGGCCACAGAAATTGAAGCTTTGAGAAAGGTACAATTATTGTCAATGTGGTTTGGGAATGGTCAGTAACTTTCTCTCCCACCTTCTGACTTGATCATTTCCTAACGTGGCTGGGTCTTTTTGAACCTTCCCAGAAGGGCCACATTCAGTGGCTATACCTTTCATTATGAGCATCATTTTTGTGTCACAGAGAACAAAATGTTGGATCAGTTTTCTCCTTGCATTCTGCTATCAAAACCAGGTGCCTGGCGAGAAAGTCTTGAAGATTAAAGCAGTCTACAATTCATGGATACCAATTCATAGCAGCAGCTCAGCCCCAGAGGCAGGTAGAAAGTCTTCAAGGCTGATGAAATATGTAGGCAGCAAGTGTCATGTCAACTCAGACAAGGCTAGCTCGGCCTGTTCAGTTTTGCCATTATAAAGGTGAACTGCCTGAATCGTGAAAGGGCGAGTGGTATTAACCTTAGAACCAGAAGAATGGCAGCTCCTGGAGAGCAGCTGGCACATAAATCCCTACTGGCTGAGAAGAAGAAAGGTGCTTAATAGGAGTGTAATTGAAGGATTTTTTCCTCTCCCCCTAGTTTGGCCCGTGTCAATGGGATTCATTTTACTCCCCTCCAGGACAGGGCCAGCTACCTAAGGGTATGGAAATCTAGTGACCGGCTGCCTGCACTAGAATCGGCCCCACTTCTCTGCATTCTGAAATTCTCAACAGCAGACTCTCCTTGGAGAACAAGATAGCAATAGCCCAGAATCAGCTATTAAAACACACAGTGATAACTGGGACTTTGCACCCATTAGCACCATCACAGATTTATTTATCCAATTAGTTATAACCCTTCTGAGAGCCAGGATTTGGACCCTTTAAAAAGTCACATCAATATGGACTTTAGAAAGCAGCTAGTCTAGGTCTCCTTTTGAGGAACTTGAGGCCCAGTGAGGGTAAGTGGCTTATTCAAGGTAACCAGCAAGTCAGCAGCCGAGCTAGACTACAATCATCTTGTCTATACCCCTTGTTTTACAGTTGAGGGCACCAAGTTCCATACATGAGAAGTGACTGGCCAAGCCTGGACACCACCAAATTCCCCCAAATTTCTAATCCAGAGATTCATTCTTTGTATCACGTTATTTCTTTCTTCACATCCCCATGCTGAGGGGAGATGATGAAGCAAAAGGTGGATGAATATTTTGCATTTTGGTACATGTTCTATTGATGCATCAGCTAGCTTAGAGAGCCTACCTGGTTAAAAGTACTTCATCTTCTTTAGGTAATGCACAATGAGTAAGGAAGGGAAAGACAAGGTGAGTATATTCTAAAAGTAGAGCAAAAATGGAATGATTTGGGCACAAGGATGATTATCCCCCAAAGAAGCCCAGAAAAAGATCATAAAACATCCCTCTTCCTTCTTTCTCCTTACCCAGTGACTGACCCCATTCCCACCTCAAGAGAGAATAACATGGATTAGCTGGCATAGCCTTGGCCCTCGTTTCTGGAGAGGGATTGAAGGGTAGACAACAGAGCTGGCAAACAGGGCTATGAGTGAGACTTACATTCCCTTTGGCTTTCTCTTCTCAGATAGGGCAGGACCTGACTAGGATTTTTCCTGGGCCTCAGCGATGGGCAAGGCTCATGCACATAGATAATGCAAGATCCACTAGTTCTTACAGATAACTTCCAAAGTAGATATTATCATCCCCCATGTGTAGGTATGGAAATTTGAGGCCAGAGATGTTAATTTTATTTCCTGGGATGACCAGCTGGTCAGTGGCAGTGCCAGGCTTAGATCCAGACCTTTCTGATTGCAAAGTCAGGTGCTTCCCACTTGACCTCAGTCCTCTCCATGTCACCAGGTCACCTCCTAGGAAGCAGAGCTTCTCAGGGTCCCACCTGTTCGTTTTCCTGCCATCTCTGAGGACACCTCCCATAATCTGAGTCATACAAAGAACACCTTTTTCTCTCTTAGCCCCCTTTTCACCAACATGGAGCCAGCCACTTGTGAAGTTACCACCTGGGGATAGGGTGAAGATGCGTGTGTGACAAAGGCCAGCTTCCTGGAATGCAGGAGTAAGGCTCTAGGGCTGGATGGTCATGTCTGGGAAACAGTTTGCTCCACTAACCATTGGCTGTCACTGTCATTGCAGGGCTGGAGTGCAGCTTTGACTTCCCCTGTGAGCTGGAGTACTCCCCTCCACTGCATGACCTCGGGAACCAGAGCTGGTCCTGGCGCCGTGTCCCCTCGGAGGAGGCCTCCCAGATGGACCTGCTGAACGGGCCCGAGGCAGAGCATTCCAAGGAGATGCCCAGAGGTAAGGGCAGGGGCCACTGCCAAGTGTTCTGGGTGGGCCAGGATGGCTGGAATGTCAATTTCTGTTTGAAAAGTTAAGGCATCCCCACCCCTGCTCTACTCTATTTTCTTTGAAACCTGCTTTTAATATCTGTGCCTCTCCATGTCTTCTTGAGCCATGCAAGGAGGGGGAGGATGCAAGTCCAATTTTAAGATCAATCCAACCCTTTACTCTCTTACCAAGTAATGGAAACAGGATTTCATGACTCTCTTTCATGCGGATTTCCCAATGTAAGATGTAGGAGAAAGTGCTGATTTGTTTGTTCATTTGGAACAGGGTTGCCGGATAAAAACAAGACACCCAGTTAAACTTGAGGAACAAATTATTTTTCATATATTTCATGCAATACTTTGGACATATTTATACTTTAAAAATTATTCTAATGATACTAAAAATTGTAAATTTAATTCAGTGCCCTGCACTTTTATTTGCTAAATCTGGCAATCCTAATTTGGAAGGTATTGTGTAAATGGGTTAAATATTAGTTTCAAAGCCATTAATGAATATTCAGGCTACCTATTAGCATTCAAGGTGCTTCTGGTAGTCCAGAGCTGTTTATGCACATCCCCTTCTGAATTATCATGGACTGGAAAAGGGAGGCGCTGGAGAAGTAGTGGGTGCCTGTTAAATATTTGCTGAGATTCCAGAGAAAGATGTAGAGGCACTAAGCCCTACTCCTGCCTTCAGGTCTCTCTATGGCAAAGTTTAGAGCCCCTAATTCCTTGGACCCAGATAACTGCTGACTCAGAATTGACAGCCTATGTATTTGGCTTTTAGGAAGAAATAATAACTGACATGGTACTTTCAGTTTGCAAAGCCTTTTCACCCACACTGTCTCACTGGATTCCAGTATTATGAGGGAGACAAGGAAGTGAGAAAGCTAGGCTCAGAGAGAGCAAGTGACTTGCTGAAGATCGCACAGCGTGTACATGTGGGTCCAGGTCTAGATGTCTGTTGTGGTGTGTCTTAGACATGGACACTTCTGCCACATTGTGTTTCTTCTTTGTAGCAAAGGTTATGGCAAGAGCCCTCACTGGGCCCATTTCTGGGGGTTATTATCTTACTCAGATTCTAATGGACAGGGCTCAGGTAAGCTCTAAGGCAGTGGTTCTCAACCTTCCTAATGCCTCAACCCTTTAATACAGTTCCTCATGTTGTGGTGACCCCCAATTTCATTGTTACAAATTGAACATAATTAAAGCATAGTGATTAATCACAAAAACAATATGTAATTATATATGTGTTTCCCGATGGTCTTAGGCGACCCCTGTGAAAGGGTCGTTCGGCCCCCAAAGGGGTCGCGACCCACAGGTTGAGAACCGCTGCTCTCGGGGCGGGGTTGGAGGGGGGGTCCTTGGAGGTGGCACAATGCTCTTAGGCTTCCTCATCAGCCTGGAACCCTGCGGGGAGAGACCATTTTTTCCTACACACTCTCCCGGGCTAACCTTTTCTTTTTTTATGCCTCTGGAAATTGCCTGACCTTGATTTATATTTTAAGCTGCTTTCACCTGGATATTGATGTGTATTGTAGGGGGTGTGTGTTTGTATGTAGGTGAGTGGCTCTTAACCTGATAGTGCATCCAAATATTCTGGAGAAGTTATACAAAATACTGCACAGACCCCATAGCCGAGACTATGATTCAGTAGATCTGAGATGGGGTTTAGAAATCTGTGTGTTTTCAAATTTTTATTATGAAATTTAGCATGTGCAAAAATGTAGATGTAACATATATGCATGGATTAAAGATTACAATAAAATCAACACTTGTGTTCTCCCCACCAAGTGTAGGAATTTGAATGTTGTCCATCCCTTTACAATCTATCTCCCACCTAGATAAAAATCCTCTTCTTATAAGTAGAACAACAAATCAATCTCTCTCAAATCAATAAATTTTAAAAAATATTTTTAAATGTCTTCCTTTCTCAGAGGTAAACACTACCCTGTATTTTGTGTTCATCATAAGTTTGCTTTTGTTTATGGCACTTATGTATGTAGCCCCAAACAACATATGGACCAGGTTTGCAAACTGTTATATAAATGGCATAATACTGTCATTTTGTGGTTTGTCCATTTTGATGCTTGTTACTGTGGTTCATTTAGTTTTTAATCCATTGCATGAAAATCTCACAATTTATCTCTTCTACTCTCATTAGACATTTGGATTGTTTCCAGGTTTTTACTATTGCCAGCAGCAATAGTAAATTGTAAGCATTTTTGTATATGCCTTCGTGCATGAGCATGTCTAAGAGTTTTCCTAGAGCGTAGATCTAGAAATGGGATTGCTGGGTCATGGGGTGCAGCTTCCATTCTAACGAGTAATGCTAATCTATTTTCCAAAGTGGTGGAACCAAGCTATACCCCCCAATAGTGATGTGTTAGTATTCTTTCCTAGGACTGTACACCCTCACCAGTGTCTGGTATTGTCAGACTGTCATTTTTGTTCATGTGGTAGATGAAAAACAGTATTTCATTGCAGATTCAATTTCCATGGAACTCTGGAAAATTTATGTTTTTATAAGTGTCTCCGATGATTCTGAGGCATAGTTATATATGTTGTACTTTTGATGTAAGCCCCCTTTTCAGACTTATTCCCATTCAGCCTCCACTAGGGATATCTCTGGGTCCCAATTCCCAGCTCCAGAAATAGTCCTGGCAGTACATGCATTTTTCATTACTGTAGGGTTTTTATTGAATTATGATCACAATTCAGTGAGATCAGGAGAGAGAGGTAAGTATCCATTGTACACAAACTTTGTGGAGTCAGATTTTATAACTTTGAAATCCGGTGCTTTTAAAATTTTTAAACAATTTTTAAAACAATGCCAATAGTTTATGCGTTGCCACTCTTTGCCTATTTCTCCTCCTCCATCCTCTATCTTGTGATCTCTGACATCTTCATATTACACTGAGTACTGTGAGAAAAAAGAAAGGAAGAAGGAGTGGAGGGAAGGACAATCACTTATCAATGTGGAAATCTATCAATGCCTTTATGTTTTTATAAAACTGGATCCCAAGAACCAGGGCATGTACTGAATGTGAACCTTTTACAATTAGATAAATCAATCAAGATTGGAATATTCATTTTCTTTTAGTGATTTTTGTCAACTTCTATCTCTCTGAAAAATCATTGCTCTTTCAGACATGGTAGTATGTCACATCACTGAAGACAATGATGTGAATAGCCATGACAAATGCCACTTTGGCTACACCGGTCTACTTCATCAAAATCTTTAGTGAACAAACATATCCAAACATAACTTGTAGAGATCTCAACACTGTTAGAAACTTGTGTTTATTTTTTCCTGGGGTCTAATAGTGGAGTCTATACTCACACATCCTTGATCAGTCTTAGAAACAAGGGACCTGCCTCCCAGGTCATAGGGCCACTTCTGGAATGTCACTGAGAGGCATTCAGAGCTTTCAGTAATGGGCCGCACATTCCTTTTTGAGTCAACTAATTACATCACTACCTGTTCCTTGAAGCAGGGTTGTTCCTCAAGAAGCAGGCTGGTGTATATCATAGCGTCCCTTGACCTTCAGAGAAAGAGGTAAAGGTGACGGGTGACATGCCCAATCTGCACAATGGCAAAACAAGGACCTACATTCCAGTTCTAACTCCCAACTCTTTAGGATCTCACTTTCTCTGTCTTTTTGGCAGAAAGGTATGCTGGTAGTGGAGATAAGGAGGAGTGATGGGTGCCCTTTAGGCTAGTATAGTTACTAACGTTTTTTTTAGCTTAACATTTATTGGTTAGATGGTATTTAGACTCCATTGCCATATTTCTTGTCAGGGGATATAGAAGGTCCAGAAAAAAGCAGTGAGAGAATACCAATCATAGATAATGAACTGTAAGATTATAAATTCTACATAATTTTAATTTATGGCCCCTGTAGATGAGAATAATAAGGGGTATTCAATTCAGAGAAGCAAGATAATAAAAAGTGATGATCTTGATGGAACACAATATTATGAATTAATAAAGTCTGAGGAATTATCAGGTTGAGGCATTCTATGACTTTTCAAGTAGTCCTAGGGGTATATTTGATTTCTGCTACTTCCGGTGTCTTGGAATGTAGTCAAAGGAACATATTTTTCTTCTCCAGAAAGACAAGCTTTTGATCTCTTTCATGAACCTACCTTGAAAATGGAAAATGGATTTGTAGCCCCTCTTCAAAGCCCCTCCCCAAGCCCTCACTCATATGCTTACACAAGAAGGGAGTAGACAGCTAGGAGGAGCTGACTCTTCCTATATCAACTCAACTTTCTTCAGGGCACTGATTTTCAAGGGTGTTTTGTTTTTGGTGGAGGACCTGGGTGGAACTCTGCTACTGAGATTCTTCTGTTTACCAAGATGACTTCATTTTCAAAAGGTTGAGAAACATCTTCCTAGAGTTCTGGAATGGCTAGCAATGCTGCCATAGATGACTAGGGCACCACAGTGCCAAAATAAGCCTTCTGGTCCACTCCTGTTATACCGTTGTGTGTTAGATTCTTGTAGCTGCTATAACAAATTAATATAAAGTGGGTGGCTTAAAACAACAGAAATTTGTTCTCTCCCAGTTCTGGAAGCCAGCAGTCCAAAATCAAGGTGTTGGAAGGGTTGGTACCTTTTGGATGCTCTGCAGGAGAGCCCATTCCATGCCTCCTTTCTGGCTTCTGGTGATTGCAGGTCATCTGTGGTGTTCCTTGACTTGTAGATGCATCACTTCAATTTCTGCCTCCATCTTTACATGGTGTTCTCCTCTGTGTCTCTGTTTCAAATCTGTAACTTACAGGGACACATGTCACTAGATTTAGGGCCCATCTTAAATCCAGCATGATCTCATCTGAAGACCCTTAATTACATCTTCAAAGGCTCTGTTTCCAAATAAGGTCAACTTCACAGGTACCAGGGATTTGGACTTGAACATATATTTTGGGGACCACTATTTAACTAACTACATGCTGATTTTTCTTTCC